AAAGTAGATCTTTGTGCCAGAACCGGTGTGGCTCAGTGGATAGAGCGTCGGCCTGGGGACTGAAGGGTCCTGGGTTCGATTCCGGTCAAGGGCATGTACCTTTGTTGAGGGCACATCCCCAGTGGGGGGTGTGCCCGAGGCGGCTGATTGGTGTTTTTCTATCATCAATGTTTCTGGCTCTCTGTTTCTCTCCCTTCCTCTGAAAAATAAAATAAAATTTTATATATATATATATATATATATATATATATATATATATATATATTTATATATGACTGAGCCAGTCGCCCAGGTGGGCACCAGCAACAGAGACAGAGACAGGGACTCAGAGAGGCTGCGGAGACAGAGGCCGAGGCCAGAGGGACGAGGTGATAGGAGCTCAGGAGCCGAGAGCCCCTGACACAGGAAGTGGGAACAGGGCCCGCCCACACCTTGACCTCAGGCTGGGTCCTGCGATGAGAAAACCGCACCTGAGCTCGCCCCAGACTCAACCGGAAGCCAACCCGAGCCTGCCCGGCCTGGTCCCTGCCGGCGGGTTTCTGGTTGAGACTTCTGGATGCCTGCCTCCTGCCTCCCTCCTCCCTCCTCCCTCCTGCCTCCTGCCTCCCTCCTGCCTCCCTCCTCCCTCCTGCCTCCTGCCTCCCTCCTCCCTCCTCCCTCCTGCCTCCTGCCTCCCTCCTGCCTCCCTACTGCCTCCTGCCTCCTGCCTCCTGCCTCCTGCCTCCTGCCTCCTCCCTCCTGCCTCCTGCCTCCCTCCTGCCTCCTGCCTCCTGCCTCCCTCCTGCCTCCTGCCTCCTCCCTCCTGCCTCCTGCCTCCCTCCTCCCTCCTCCCTCCTGCCTCCTGCCTCCCTCCTGCCTCCCTCCTCCCTCCTGCCTCCTGCCTCCTGCCTCCCTCCTGCCTCCATCCTCCCTCCTGCCTCCTGCCTCCCTCCTGCTTCCCTCCTCCCTCCTGCCTCCTGCCTCCTGCCTCCCTCCTGCCTCCATCCTCCCTCCTGCCTCCTGCCTCCCTCCTGCTTCCCTCCTCCCTCCTGCCTCCTGCCTCCTGCCTCCTGCCTCCTCCCTCCTGCCTCCTGCCTCCCTACTGCCTCTTGCCTCCTGCCTCCTGCCTCCTCCCTCCTGCCTCCTGCCTCCCTCCTGCCTCCTGCCTCCTGCCTCTCTCCTGCCTCCTGCCTCCTCCCTCCTGCCTCTCTCCTGCCTCCTCCCTCCTCCCTCCTGCCTCCTGCCTCCCTCCTGCCTCCTGTGCCGCTCAGAAGCCCCCACGGGTGCGGAACAGGGGACCCTGGGGGCCCTGAACCGCCCCAGGCTCCTGCGCAGGCGCCACCTCCGCTGCTGTGGCTCCTGGGCTGAGTCCCTCCCTTCTCTGGGCCTCTGTCCCCCTTTGCACATCGGGTCCCTGGCGTTCAGCACCAGCCTGGCGGGTGTGGGGTACGGGGTGCGGGGGCCTGCTCAGCCAGCGCTGGATGGGACACGGGAGCCCCAGAGGGTCGGGGGGGGTGCCCCCTGCAGGGCCAGAGCTGGCCATGAGAGGTGCCAGGTGCCCGGAGGGAGCTTTTCCAATGGACTCTGATGCCGATGCCCCCGAGGAGGGAGGCCAGGGGGGTCTGCCAGGCCCGTGCCCTCTGTCTCCGCCAGCCATCCCTTCTCCCACGACCCACCTGAGAACAACGGGGTGGGGGTGACAACGGGAGCCACAGGGGTGCCCCCCAGTGAACTGCTAACAGGAACACCTCCCGGTGAGGGCTGGGGGAGGCGGGAGGGGGCAGGCGCGGTGGTAGCGATGTGCCAGGCTTGTCTGACGGGGCCCAGGGCTTCGGCCGCAGCTGCCAGGCCCGTCCGGGGGGCCAGGAGCATGCTTGGGGCCTGAGGTCACACCAGTGTTGGGCTGTGGCCAGCTTGGCCCACACACTGTTTCTATTCCTGGGTCCCGGGCTCGGGCACCAAATACGGTGCTGCCTGCCTCTGGCACCCTCGGCGACAGCAGGCCTGGCTCCAGTGGCACAGCCCGCCTCCCCTGGAGTTCCAGGGCTTGCCCCACACCGTGGCAGGGCCCCGTCTCCCCAGGGCCCCGGGCCACCGAGCAGCCAGGGCCTCGCTCCATCCCTCTGTCCGTCCGCCCACTCCTCAGTCCACTCCTCAGCATGGCTCACGGGGCCAGAACAGCCTTGCCCTGCAGGGACACCAGGCGAGGAGCACAGGGCTCTTGGTTTACCTCAGGGCTCTGCCATTCAGGAGCCGGGGGGGGCAGAGAGGGGTCCCCCAGGCAGCTCACCCGACGTCTGACCCCCAGTCTCCTCACTCACGTGCTCACTGGCTCCTTTGGTCGCTCACTGATGTGCTAACTCACGGGCCCACCCACTCACTCCCTCGTTAATCCACTCATTGATCACCCACTGATCTGCTCACTCTGATTGCTCCGTCCACTGCTTTCTCACCAAGCACAGTGTTCGTTGACCCCACGGGGTTTGTTCCAAGTAAATAACCACCCAGGCATGTGCAGGAAAGCCCAGGATGGCTGCCTGCGTCCGGGGAGAACAGGCCTTGGCTGGGGCTCTGAGGGAGGGGGAGAGGAGGGGAGAGGGAGGGGAGGGAACTGTGTTCCAGCAGGAGGAACAGCAACTGCAAAGGCCCAAAGCGACGGCGTGGGGGATGGGTTTGGGAAAGGGCCAGGAGGGCAGAGCATGTGACGGGGAGAGAAATGGGGGTGCGGTCAGAGATTGGGGGACACCCGGGCCCCGGCGGGCCACCCACATATCAGGGTCTGAGCGGAGGAATGACTGGCCGCCACGTCCTCTCAGTGTCCCTCCGGCAGCGAGGGAGGGAGGGAGTGAGTGAGCAAGTGGACGAGACGGCCATTTGCACGGGGCACGGGGCACGGGGCTGGGCTCAGGGAGAAGGTGTGGGGCACAGTGGACTCAGGGAGGTCCATCCGGCCAGCTCCCTTCTCCATGCCACCTTCCCGGGGAGCCCCCTTCTCCGGACTCTGGGCCTCTGCCTGCACTTCTCCCTGATCTCGTTTATGGTCCTCAGCTCTTGGCCAGTGGTCTCCCCCAGGCAGAGCGCCCCCCAGGGGAGGCTGCACCTAACTGCCCCCTGGGGCCGAGCGAGGGCGAGAGCCGGTGCACACCTCCCGTCTCCTCTTTTGCAGATGGATCAGCAGGCACGGAGCGCGGGTGGAAGGGCCGTGTCCGTCCTGGCGGAGGAGGCCGGCCGCTGAGCCAGGCGTGTCTGCAGGAGGCTGCCAGGCTGCCCATCCCGCCTCACCGCCATGGGCCGCCCGGGCTGGTCAGTGCCAGCTCTGATGTCATCGCGGTTCCCGGCCGGGCCCCGGGGGAGGGTGGCCCATGGCACCCTCTCTGGCCGTGAGACCCACCTGTCCCAGGAGGGGCTGTCTCCGGTCCCCGGGGTCCCCACGTTTCCCCGCCTCAGAATAGAAATGATGCAACTGCCCCCTGCGGTTGCTGAGGGGGTGGGGGGTGTGGCGGGGGTGGCTTTGTCTCTGGGCACCCCGCAGGCCCAGAGGAACTGCTAACGGGGAGCAGAGTCCAGGCCCGTGAGCTCGGCCCTCCCGCCCCCCAGCGCCAAGCACGGTGTGTATTGGCTGCGCTGACTTGCTCCCAGGCAGGAGGGTGCAGTGGTGAGAGCACAGGCCCTAGAGCCAGGCGGCCAGGGTTCAGAGACCCAGCCTGCCCCGGCTGGCTGTGGGATTCTGCCTGAGCTGTCTGCCCTGTGCCTCCGATTCGCACCTGTAAAGTGGGGTGATGCTTGCCACCCGGTAAGGCAGCGTTAGGGCTCAGTGAGCGAACACATGTCAGTGTGAGAAGGTGGCCTGGCTCGCACATGGCAGACAGGCCGTGTTTCCTGAGGAGGCGAGTGAATGAACGAGCGGGTGCTGGTGTTCCTGCCATGGGGGTGGGGAGGGTGAGGCTCAGGCAGCTGAGTGATTTGCCCCAGGTCTCCCCACTGCTTCAGACAGACGTGGGGTCCCCTGCACCCCAGGCGTTTGCAGTCCCATCCTTGGGGATGAGGCCAAGCCTGTCTGTTCCTCCCAGCCACCTGGGGCACCCAGGCATGCTCCGGGCTGGGCTGCTGGCCCCATGGGCGCGACCCAGACAGGGAGGGCCCCTGGGCAGCAGTGCCAGCAAACTGCCCTGGCCCGTCCTCTCCAGACCTGCGCCCGGGAAGCCAGGGACCTGGGAGACCCCGCGTGTCTGAGCCTGAGCCCGGGCCTCAGAACCTGGCGAGCACCCCCCTGGTGCCTGCGGCTCACCCATCCTGCCCGAGAGCGAGCTCGCCTGCCAGCGCCAGGACCCCAGGCCCAGGCTCTTTTATTTACTTTTAATATATATTTTATTGATTTTTTACCGAGAAGAAGAGAGAGGGATAGAGAGTTAGAAACATCGATGAGAGAGAAACATCCATCAGCTGCCTCCTGCACACCCTCTACTGGGGATGTGCCCGCGACCAAGGTACATGCCCTTGACCGGAATCGAACCCGGGACCTTTCAGTCCGCAGGCCGACGCTCTATCCACTGAGCCACACGGGTTTTGGCCAGGCTCAGGCTCTTGCCGCTCGTCCCGAGGCTACTCGGCGGCCTGCCCTCTTGGACCAGCTCCAGGCCTGCTTTGCGGAGCTGAGCGGTCTGGGCACCGGGCCTCCCCTCACAGGCTGCCAGTCTGGCGTGCCACGGGACTGGCAGGGCCAGGCAGAGGCCTGAGGCAAAGGCACGACTTCTGATAACTGCCTGCCGGCCCTGCCCTGGCCCTGGTGGCCACAGCGGGTATGGCACCCGGTGCCCGGAGCTTCCCGGTGTGTCCGGAGTGAGCGGCTGGCAGGCCCCTGGGCTCTGGGAGCCAGAGCTGGCCTTGGCCTTGGCCGCCGTGTGTAAGGAAGCCTGTTCTTGGGTTGGGGTTGCCAGCAGCCCCGTCCGAACGCTGTGTCCTCTCTTGCAGACCAGCCAGTTCCTGCCGGAGGCTCCTGGCGGCACCGGGCGGGGGAGACCATGCCTAGGCCCCCGGACTGCCTGCTGGGGCTGCTCCGGGGCGCCCCGAGCCAGCGGGCCTGCACCCTGTTCCTCATCAGCTTCAACCTCATGTGCCTGGTGTCCCTCATGATCTACTGGCACGTGGCGGGCGAGCCGGGGGGCCCCGCGCGGCTCCCTAACCTGCCCGCCGACATCCCCTGCCCCCGCCTGGAGCCCCCCACGCCGCCCCCCGGCGGCGCCCCGCCCCCCACCAACATCTTCTTCCTGGAGACCTCGGACCGCACCAGCCCCAACTTCCTGTTCATGTGCTCGGTGGAGTCGGCGGCGCGGGCGCACCCCGAGGCGCGGGTGGCCGTGCTGATGAAGGGGCTGCTGGGCCGCGACGCCAACGCGTCCCTCCCGCCGAGCCTGGGCCTCTCGCTGCTGCGCTGCTTCCCCAACGTGCGGCTGCGGCCGCTGGACCTGGCCGCGCTGTTCCGGGCCACGCCGCTGGCCGCCTGGCACGCCGCCACGCGCGGCCGCTGGCAGCCCTACCCGCTGCCCGTGCTGTCGGACGCCGCGCGGCTGGCGCTGCTCTGGAAGTTCGGCGGCATCTACCTGGACACGGACTTCATCGTGCTGCGCAGCCTGCGCAACCTCAGCAACGCGCTGGGCACGCAGTCCCGCTACGTGCTCAACGGCGCCTTCCTGGCCTTCGAGCGCGGCCACGCCTTCCTGGCGCTGTGCATGCGGGACTTCGTGGCGCGCTACAACGGCTGGGTGTGGGGCCACCAGGGCCCGCAGCTGCTCACGCGCGTCTTCAAGCGCTGGTGCGCCACCCGCAGCCTGGCCGAGCGCCGGGCCTGCCGCGGCGTGCGCGCCCTGCCCCGCGAGGCCTTCTACCCGGTGCCCTGGCAGGACTGGAAGAGGTACTTCGAGGACGTCAGCCCCGACGAGCTGCCCCGGCTGCTCAACGCCACCTACGCCGTGCACGTGTGGAACAAGAAGAGCCAGGGCACCCGGCTCGAGGCCACGTCCCGGGCGCTGCTGGCCCAGCTGCACGCCCGCTACTGCCCCACCACGCACCAGGCCATGAAGATGTACCTGTGAGGCCGGCCGGCCGCCTGCCCGCGCCCTGCACCCATCCGGCCCGGTCTCCCTCCCTGAGGGGTGAAGGGCAGGGAGAAGGTGCTGTTGCAGGACTGGCTGCAAGCCCTGGGTCGTGCTCCCTCCAAGCCAGCGGGAGGCTGGGGAGGCACCCCTCCCGTGCAGGCGACAGGGGTGGGGAAGGGCCCCCAGCCAGGATCCGCTGGAGTGAGCAGGTGGAGGGGGCGCCCCAGGCCTGCTGGGCAGCACGCGGGCACGTGGACGTCACAGGATCCTCCCCCGAGACCCCAGGAGAGACGGGCTGATTGGGCCCAGGTGCCCGTGAGGGCGCAGCCTCAGGAGCCCAGGGTCAGGGGAGAGGGAGGCGGGAGGAGGGGAAGGAGAGGCGGCCGGCGGAGAGCCGTGTGCAAGCCCGGGCCCCAGCCCCAAGCGGGCGGCGCTCTGCCCCTTCCTGGTTCTGTGTTTTGTTTCCCGAGAGGCTGAGGCTGGCAGAGGGGCCTGGGGAGCATTCGGGGGGAGGCCCTGCCGGCCGCGCATCCTTGATTCTTTCCACAGATGTTGCCAGGGCGGCAGCTGCCCACTCCAGGGGCCTGGGGCTGCGGAGTATTTTTGGATCCGGAAAAGCATCTTAAAGGAAGCACTCCCGCCCTGCTGGCCTTAAACACAGGCAAATAATAAACATAACACACGTGACTGGCCCACAGCTGCCCTTCTGTAGTGGGGGGGTCGCCGGGCGGGAGGAGACTTCCCTGAGGTCATGCAACCTGCCTGGACGGAGGCCTGCGGAGGGAAATCTGCTCTCAGCGGAGGAAGGGCGGGCCGCAGCTGCCGGGTGTTGGGGCGGCCCAGCACCGGCCTCGCCTGGGACTGGGGGTGCTGCCAGGACCTCAGGGTCTCCGTGTGCTGCTCTTTGCCAGCGGCAGGGGAGTGTTTAGAGGCCTCTGGGTTCTGCCTGCAGACTCTTGGGCAGCCTGGGGAGGTTGTGAGTTCCCTGGCTCCAGGGGCATTCAAGAGCAGGTGATGTTTTTGATGCAAACAGTGGATTACTTGCCAGCTATTTCTCCAACCACATTTCCCCCATCTTAATTTTCTTCAGAATAAGCAGGTTTTACTTTAATTACACACACACACACACACACACGTAACGAGTGAAATGATCTCTGAGGGCCACGCACCGTTTAGTCAGTCATTTGGTCGTCATGCAGTGGGTGTCTACCCCCTGGGTCCAGCAGCCACGGCTCTCCTGATTTGCCCCGCCTCCCTCTCCAGCTCTGAGCTTTGTCCTCCATCCACACTGAACTGTATATTCTTTTTTTTTTTTTTTTTAACTGGATATTCTTTTCTAAAAAAAATAAATTTTATTGATTTTTTTACAGAGAGGAAGAGAGGGGGATAGAGAGTTAGAAACATCGATCAGCTGCCTCTTGCACACCCCTTACTGGGGATGTGCCAGCAACCAAGGTACATGCTCTTGACTGGAATCGAACCTGGGACCTTTCAGTCCGCAGGCCGACGCTCTATCCACTGTTGAGAAATCAGCTGACAGTTGTATAAGTGCTCCTTTATAGGTAACTACCTTCTTTGCTCTTGCTATTTCTCTTTGTCTTTTGCTCTTGGAATTTTTTAATATTCTCTCTTTGTCTTTTGCTCTTGGAATTTTAATTATGGTTTGTCTTGGTGTGGTCCTCTTTGGATTCCTTTTGTTTGGAGTTCTGTGAGCTTCCTGGACTTGTAAGTCTAATTCTTTCACCAGGTGGGGGAAGTTTTCTGTCACTATTTCTTTCAGTATGTTTTCGATATCTTGCTCTCTCTCATCTTCTGGGACCCCCATAATTCTGATGTTGGTTCGCTTGAAGTTGTCCCAGAGGTTTCTTACATTATCTTCAATTTTCTGGATTCTCTTGCCTTCTAGCTTCTGTGGAGGAGTGTCTTCTGGCTCTTTATGTTCCAACTCTTTGACTTGATTCTTGCGATCTTCCATTCTGTTTTTAGGACTCTGTATAATATTTTTTATTTCAGATAATGTATTCTTTATTTCTTGTTGATCCCTTATCATTTTTCATTGATTCCTTATTAATTCTAGTTGATCCCTTTTCATATCCTCATAGGTCTTATCGACCTTTTCTAGGAAATTCTTGAAAAACCTTATAAGCGTAGATTTGAACTCTATATCCAGTCGCTTTTTGTCCTCCATTTCTTTCATTTGTGGTATATTTCGTTGTCTCGGCATTTTTGCAGCTTCCCTGATGGGGCGGGGTTTCAGGGTGGAGCCTACAGCCTTGGCTTCTGTCAGCCCCGCCCTATGCGGGTCCTTCAGTGCTCACTGCAAGCACCTCTGAGAGAAAGGTGCCCTCGATTTTCGCCTGCTGCCAGACAGTCTAGGCTGTCTCCCAATGAGCCCGGTATTGAGGTTCAGTTCAGTTGGAAGTGGAGTTGGAGGTGGCGTTCAGAGCAGTCGGAGCCCCTGTCTCCTTCCCGCCAGGGCAATCTCGCGGCACAGCCAACCGTCCCTTCTCTGCATGCAATGTGCGCTCCCCCGGGTTCCGCCTTACAGCCCTGCTCCCTATGGATGAGCCTGGGTCCCCGGGGTCTGGCCTAGAGCTGGGGTTCAGAGCAGTCGGAACTGGGGCCCAGCACAGTCGGAGTTTATCTCCTTCCCGCTAGGGAACACCCGCCAGGCACTCCGCCTCCCTCCTCTCCGGCTCCGTCCTCTCCGCGCGCCACGTGTCTCCGTACCTTGGGCTTTTCCAGCTCCTCCGCTCTTCCTTCTGATTTTCTCCTTGCTTCTCGTTGTAGAATTTCCAGTCAGTCGACTTTCCTGTAGTTCTGGGTAATGTCCATTTTATATTTTAGTTGTATTTTATTGAAATTCTTGTGTGCGGCTGTGGCTAGGTGTTTACCTGTGCAGCCATCTTGGATTCTCCTCCATCTTAAAATTCTTGTTCCTCCCCAAAGACTGATGGATGTCCCCGCTGGGAGGCCCCACTGACTGCCCCTCCGGCCCTAGAGCCCCCGGCACCCTCTGTGACTGTGGGGTTCTGGGCCCATTCCTCTAACATCTTGGTTTTTTTTAAAATGTTTTTATTGATTTCAGGGAGAGGGAGGGAGAGAGAAATAGAAGCATCAATGATGAGAATCATCAATCCACTGCCCCCTACTGGGAACCAACATATAACCTCCTGGTTCATGGGCTGATGCCACACCTGCCAGGCCATCTAAACATCTCAAAGGGCAGAGCCGTGTCCAGTCCCTCTCGGGGTCACTCCCGGGGTGGGCCTCGGGCTCCCCATAGAGGACACACATGTCACTTTGCCAGAACCTCCAGAAGTTCCTGTTGTCCATGCAGACTGAGGGCCCAGAGGCAGCAGCTCTGGGCCTCACTTCCCTGGGGGCATCAGGGAGAGCCTTGGACCCTCAGCTGCCCCGACAATGACCCAGGGCCAGGCCGGGCCAGCTCTGCGGGATGCAAGCCCCCGAGTTCCCGGGCCTTCACGGGGGGGCCTGTTCTGGAGACGCATGCAGTCCGGAGGCAGCCTGGCCCGGCCTCCTCCCGCCCTGCCAGGCGGCCAAGCAGGACTCCTGTTCCTCGGGGCCCCTCTCTGAGAAAGGGGGCGTGGCCTTCAGAGGTTTGGCGTTGGGTCTAGGAAGGCCCTCCATTCACCTGCCGTGACCGTGGGGGCGGGCATAAGGGGCTGTGCCCTGGGACCAGGCGGCCAGAAACGACAGCAGCATCCCGGAGGATGTGGGCGGGCGAGGTAACAGGAAAAGGACATCCACGTCCAGGCCCTGGGCAGGAGGGTGACCTCTGCTGCCCTCGCCAGCCAGCCTGGGGGCCCTTGCCTCCCCACCCAGTACCAGGCCTTGCCCTCCTCCGGGCTCGGGCAGCCGTCCTAGTGCCCAGGGCAGGGGCGGGGAGCCAGAGCCCCTTTCCCAGGAGGCCGCGGGCCGGCCAGAGCGCTGGGGCTTTTGCGGAGATGGATGGTGCCTGCCCCCTAGCACGGAAGCGGAGATCCAATGAGCCGGCCCCTGGCGGGGAGCCCATTGTTACAACATCCCTCCCCTCCACGCGGGGAAACTGAGGCTCAGCAGGTAGGGGGCAGCACTGGGCTTAGCGCCCAGGGCGTGGCCATCCTGAGGGCTAGCTCCGGGCAGGAAGGTGGGGGGGGGGGGTGAGAAGCTGGAGAGGGCACCCACAGAACAGCCCAGAGCCCGCCCCCCGCAGCCCCCCTGCTTGGCTCTGATTCCAGGGAGGCCCTGCGCTTTGTTCCCTCCCATCCCATCCCAGTGCCTGGTGCCCGGCAACCTCAGGCCCCTCTATCCCGCCCCCACGTCCTGGGGTAGAAGGCGGAGCTCCTCAGTTCTCGGAAGGAGAAGGGAGGGGCAGGCCTGGGTGGAAGCTGCCCTGGGGACAGTAATCAGATCCAGGAGCCCGGGGCTGGCTCCGGCCCAGTGCCCGCGATGCTTCCGTCTGGGGGTTGGGGAGGATGAGGACCCAGGCTCTGGGCAAGCTCAGTCATTTATCAGCCTCTCCCAGGCCGGAGCGGCCTTCCCAGCAGCCCTGGGGAAGGGGCGCCGTCCCGCGTTGCTATAACAACATTCAGCTTCTTGTTAAATATTAAACGGAATGTCCTCCATCCGAGTGCCCACGGGAAGCCGGGCCGGGCGAGGAGCTCGGGGCTGCGTTCCTGGAAGCCGGGCTTCACCGTTCACTGTTCCCAAGTCTCGGCTCGGCCCAGCGAGGCCAGCCCGTGCAAGGCATGCTGGGAGTCCTGCTGTGCGGTGGGGGGCAGGCCTGGACACAGCTTGGGGGCCTGACAGCTGGTCGAGGACTCAGGTTTGAGCTGATGGGGTGGGGGTGAGGGGAGCACCCGCTCGATGAGCAGGGACCACAGCCGGGAGGAACCAGGTGGCGGGTGAGACTGCACCTGGGGCGGGGGCGGGGCAGCCCCAATCAGCCTTCGCCCACCACCAAGCCACACTGGGACCAGCCCCAGTCCCCAGCA